AAAAGCCCTCCTGAAATCTGATTGGTCCATTTTTCGACCAATCACCCAACATATACCCCTCATTCGATAGAGCGTCCTTGATAACCCTATGATCGACCCCAACATGACTAGCACTTGTCCCGAGAATAAGAAAGAAAAATCCTCCTGAAATCTGATTGGTCCATTTTTCAACCAATCAGACACCGGACAAACAGACGAATTTTCATCATGAAGACTCTATCCTTTCAGAATTGAGAATAATTAATATATTCAATATTTAATATTTCAAAAAAATTTATTTTTTAATATTTAAAATAGTATATTAAAAATATTTAATATTTTCAATACAAAATATAATATTGAATATTTACTATTTATTAGTTTATTTTTTTTTTATATTTTATATTTTTAATTTTAATCTTCAAAAATATTTAATACTTCGTTGTTAAGCCATTATTGGGCAATGACCGACCGTCATGGGCATATCATTAAAAAATAGAATTTACGTGTTTGAGATGTATATGATAATACAAATAACTTTTTTCAATATCACGATGCTAAATGAATGAAATAATCTGATAGAAAAGTAATTATAAATATGAACAATTTCATTAAAGAAAATTTCAGAGCACGCGTACAACTATCAAAATTGTTATAATTCTGATTTATTCATCTATTTGATATTTTTCTAATAACTTATTTTCAAACCTCTGACGATATGTATTAAATTTATAAGACTCAGAGTTCGTGAGTTCCACATTTTAGCCCCAAAGGGGCTGCGCTGACAAGCTTTTTTTTGAATAAAGACTTGGCAAAACACGAAATAGAGTAACTGTATTGTTGATTTTTTTGACAAATATCGCAGTGATAGACTGTTTCAAGTACAAGCACATTGAGCTGAGTAGCAGAACACTGTGATTAGTATTATATACGCAATAGATTTTCCTTGTAAAACGAGCTCCTAGATCATTAAAAAATACAAAGTACGAACAATCATTGTTCGGATCCAAGAATTAAAAATTATTCAAATAGTGTTTCTTAACCTTCTGATGATAGACAATGCTTTGAAAAAAAACAACTTGAAAGCATGAAGAATGGTTTATGGAATGAGTTTGGCGTCAATTATCGATGACAGTTAAATACCACTGACGTGTGCCTTTGCAAATTTGATAGAATACAAAATTTCAAGAAAATGCTTCATTACACTTTTTTCAAGTTTTTTCTTTCATCGAAAGAAAACACTATCATATATGGGCGATATTGTATCTATTCTCATTGCGCAATGTAAGACAGAGAAACTAAATTATATGACGAAGATGATCGTTTGCTTTACATTTGATCTATCTTCTATACTGATACATGAGTAAATTATCAATCAACTGCGGAATCATCCCATTTTATTCGGAGACATAATCGAACGCATATTGCATCACAAGAAAATAGTGGCGTGGTCAAGGAATGGGAGGCTGAGTCCCTTCTTTTGTTACTGGAGCTTTAAGTATCTCCTCCCTCACACACTTGGAATTTTCAAAATGATCTTTTGATAGTAGAAACTGAAGGAGCAAAACAAGCATGTGCAATCTCTTTCATTTGATAGTGTACAGCTATTTTCTGGAGAAGCCAGAGCAGCGAATGGATGTGAACTCCAATAATTTAAAATCATAATACGGTGTGTGCAACACGTCACCAACTTTTATGAAAATTTAGAACTGGTTACTTTTTTCGTGAAAAATCTCAAGCTAAGCAACTTTCTCACCAACAAGTGATGACGAAACATGTTCTAAAAACATTCGCTTCACAACAATCAACAGCTACATGACTGTAGCCATTCTAAAATGTTTCTATTTTTCCTTGTTATTACAAGTTTAGTCTCTTTTTTGTTCTCAAAACCGTTAAGTCTTAGAAAATTTGTCACAAGCTTGACCAATTTCGACGGTGAAGCCGCTAAGAAATATTATTAACTGAACTCGATAATGCTTTCCTTTTCAGAAAGAAAAATAATGGAAAGCGGAGTTTTGTCATGATTCCGCAAAAACTTCTCGTTTCACGAAACAGTGACTGCTCTGTAAGCGAAGTTAACATCAAACTCTTTCAGTGTTGGTATTTAAACCTCGGCGTGTATTTCTCTTCAGAAAATATTGCTTTAGATCAGAACTCATCAGTATGGCCACCTATAGTGGCAAAAAGCTAAAGCATACTTTTTTGAAAATTCAATATCAAGACATTTTCATTCGAAAACCTTGCAAGAGAAAGTCGATTTTTTTTGAAAGGTTGCGAAAAGTTTGTTCTTCGCGCAAATTTGACGCATTTTACACTGGGAGAAAACCCTAATACTAGCTTGCATATGAAAAACTTATTGACTCCTTCTTCAACTTTGCTAACTGGAGGCTATTCCTGGCCACTTTACCGTGGCTAATGAGGGAACCTTCTCAGGTGTAACCCTCAGATTTCAATGATTTTTTTGTCCACAGATGCTTCATAGTGGCCTAGTAAAACCCTAAAAGGATTTGGGTTCAGGGTCCTTTCTTCAAAAGTTATGAATATTTTAATTTGGCTTCTATATAGGCCATAATATACAATATTAAAAAATCAGCAATTTTATGAAAATAAGACAGAAAAACGAATTTCTTTTTTTGAGAGTGTTCTTAGATATTTGTTGTACTCATGAAAAACTAAAAGATTAACACTTCGCATGAGTACAACAAATATCTAAGAACGCTCTCAAAAAACGAAATTCGGTTTTTTATCGTATTTTCATAAAATTGCTGATTTTTTAAGGCCATTCACTCAAAATAAGATCGTTTATTGATTTTCGCTTCGTCGGCTTGTGAAAACTCGATCTCCACCGTAATACATTGTATAGAGCTGAAAATTTTAGGGCTTACTGGGGATGGATCATCCTCGCACCACTCAAAATTTCAGCTTGAGTCATAGTACTTTGGTTACAGATATAATTACTTTACTACACATGTCTTTTTTGGCTGCGATGCCTTTCCGTATCTTCAGCGCCATTCGACCACGATACTATATAAAGTCAAATATTTTTTTTGTTTGAAAGCGCGTCTCTAGGGCTAGCCTACCTTGTGGCCCGTTTTTACAAATAAGCTTTTTTATTATCATATAAGAACACATCTCTATAGAAAAAACGCCATTTTTTAGCGCTTGTTTGAGTCATTGAACTTGTCATCCCTTTTCTTCGCTTAAAAAGTAAGAATTTAAAATAAAGGACCACAAGATAGGCTAGCCCTAGGGACAAGCTTTCAAACAAAAAAAGTTATATATATACAGGGTGGTCCAAAAGTCACGCACCAAAGGAAAAAAATTAATTATCTCCATTAAGGCTTGAGCAAATGAGCTGATTTTTTCATTGATGGTAGGAGCATATACAAGCTTTTTATTCATATAGATATAGCTAAGTACGTCCTCTGTTAATTAACCCTATTGACTTCAAAAAAAAAGAAACCTTATTTTTCATATATAAAAAAAACAAGTATAATATAAGGAAAGAGCAGTTGATTCGGAGAAAAACGTGATCATTAGACGAAACTTATGAACAACGCATATTGTATTCATATATATTCTTTTTGTATTTTTCTCTTTCTGCTCTCCTATAACCCACGTGATAGTTCACACGACATAAATCGTTTTATTAATATTGTTCATTACACTGCTTTAGCGAAAGTATACGTACATTTTGCATAGGCTCGGTAAGATTTGTGCTTCTTTGCTCTACTTTTTCTATTCCATTTTACATTGAATTCGTATGTACAGATGCCAAGATTTTTAACAATAGAACAAAGGACTTTTATCCTCAAGCAATGGTGGATGTCAGGAAAAACGTTAAAAACAGTAAATGAAGCGTTTCAAGATGAATATTCTGACGACGAAATTCCAGCTCGACAAACAATTTATAGACTAGCAACAAAATTTGATGAGACAGGTTCCGTGGAAGATGCACCTCGAAGTGGTAGACCAACATCAATAACCACAGAAGAAAATATGGAACTTGTTTCTGAAAGCTACACTCTTAATCCACAAAAATCACAAAGACGTGCAGCACATGACCTTGATATCTCACGTTCAAGCGTACGACGTATCATGAAAGAACTCAATTTAAAACCGTACAAACCGAGATTATTACAAGTCTTAAATGAAGATGATCCTGATCGACGACTTGAATTTTCTCAATGGGTTTTAGATTCAATTCGAGAAGATCCCATTATCTTAGATCGAATTATCTGGACTGACGAAGCTATATTCCAAACAAATGGTCGTGTCAATAGACACAATTGTGTTTATTGGAGTGATACAAATCCACATTTTATTATCGAACAAGAGCTCAACGTTCCACGAGTAATTGTATGGGGAGGAATATGGTCAAATGGAGTTGTTGGCCCATTCTTTTTCGAAGATAATGTTACATCACAAACCTATCTTCAAATGTTAAAGAACCATATTATACCGCAACTTGAAGAGCAACCAACCTTTCACACAATGATATGGCAGCAAGACGGTGCACCACCTCATTATGGTCAAGCTGTACGTGATTATTTAGATGATACTTTTTTAGAATGGATCGGTCGTCGAGAAATTGTAGAATGGCCACCGCGGCCTCCTGATCTTACTCCATGTGATTTTTCACTATGGGGAGTAATAAAAGATCATGTCTATGCTCAAAAACCTCGTAATGTGGACCATCTAAAATTATTAATTGAACATGACTTTACATCGCTCAATGATAATATCGAATTATGCCAGGCAATCTGTCATTCTGTCGCTAAGCGTTGCCGGATGTGTATTAGAGCAGAAGGCAAACAGTTCGAACATTTGCTTTAAAATATTGGTCATTTTCTGAAAAAAATTTCCTTTCTTTATATTATATTCGTTTTTTTTGATATATGAAAAATAAGATTTTTTTTCTTGAAGTCAATAGGGTTAATTAACAGAGGGTGTACTTAGTTATATCTATATGAATAAAAAGCTTGTATATGCCCCTACCATCAATGAAAAAATCAGCTAATTTGCTCAAGCCTTAATGGAGATAATTAATTTTTTTCCTTTGGTGCGTGACTTTTGGACCACCCTGTATAATGACGATCCACAGAGAAATTTTGGAGATGAGATGAGCTAAAATGAGCTACTTTTTTACCCTTGCTTGATTCATATCTCTATCAAACGTCAGGATATTGAGCTGAAAATTTTATCACAGCCTCCTCACTTCAGCCCCAACATATGCTCCAAATTTCACCTCATTTGAACGTATCTGGGCTGAGATCGATTTTTGAGGGGGTGGCCTTAATATTGTATATTATGACCTATACAGAAGCAAAATTAAAATATTCATAACTTTTGAAGAAAGGGCCCTGAACCCAAATCCTTTTAGGGTTTTTACTAGGGCACTATCTAGTATCTGTGGACAAAAAATCATTGAAATCTGAGGGTTACACCTGAGGAAGTTCCCTCGTAAGTTCATTTTCTAAATAGCAATACATCAGAGCACAGCAACCTTAAAGATGTACACGATTACGAGCAGATATAGATTTGTCTACAATCCTTAGAATAGTTGGATTTTATAAAAATACAGCCATGTATTGTTGTGAACATTTTTCATGATATGAGATACACACTGAGCAAACTTCTAAAAAAATGGGTGGCTGAGACCCTAATCAGCCATTTTTTTTGTTACGCCACTGATAAAACGTTAACATATGCTATCATAAGGTAGACTAGGATATGGCTGAAGAAATGAGCACACAACACACTAATCTTTTTGAGCAACGTTGCGCATAAGAGTACCCACTATTAGATTTATCTGTAGTTCTTCCACAATGACAGAAAAAATTAAAACGTCAAAATCGGGACTAATCATGGGACGAATCGAACCTCCAAGAATTCAAGTATTGATCAAAATCTGATATTCGCTGATATAAGTTGGACTTTCTTTTGTGACAACATTACGATTTATATATCTTTCAACCTAACATTCCTATATGGATATACGAGATGCATATCCAAACAATTTACTTGCATGATTTAGACATCTCTACTGCTCTTGGTCTTGAAATATTCATGCTTATGATAGAAACTTTAGACAAAAACAGTACCTATGAATGTCTGAGAATCTTCGGGTTTCTCTGCTAATATATGTTATCTAATATAGTACAAATCCGAGGTATCCACATTTATTTATAATAAACTGGCAACAAAACAAAATGAAATGCTGATAACACTGGTATGTAAGCTAGACATCAGTAGCTACTCAATATTAAAATCAAGATCTTTCTAACCTCTCTTTTTCTCGAACAGTATACGAAACAGTATAGTTCACCATGGATGAATGAATAATTTTGATGCCCACTGTGTATGTGTCGATTGGTTTCTTTCTCTCCTTTTCTTAACGGAAAGAAGAGGAGTTTTTCATTTGATTTTTTTACATCCGTATCAGTTAATGAGCACTGCTTCCATAATCTACTTACAATTGACTGGCTTCGTACTTCAATGACATAACTGATAATGTCTTTACTCTATCACAATGGGGAAAAAATTCGCGCAAAGCATGGCAAAGAAAAGGATGATTGTGAATCAGGACGTATATTTTTGCTTGCCAACATGATAGGAGAATGTATCGTGCTAGAAAAAAACCATCCTATTCGATGGTGGGAACATTTTTGTAAATGCTTTGTTGACGTCTTCTCTCTATCACTTTTACCTTCGGGTTACCGAATTAGTATCTGAATCTCAAAAGACAGAATTTCGAATCGTGAGATCTTGAAAGTGTAAAATCTCGAGAATAAAACTTCGCACACGAGACATTGCATTGATAATCACTAGCTGTCTGTTCATTTCATCAGACATATTTCCGTGCTCGCTCGCTTCCTCTCCTTCTATGCTAATGCAGGGTTCCATTTCCTTTTTCCATCCATCTTTTACATTCCGCTCGAGCTAATTGCTGTTATTTTTAACATGTCTCTTTCACACACGAGTGTCTGACATACTCACACACTCCTCACCAATACGCTTACTCTCACACCCTCCACCTCATGTAAGATGTTCATCGTAGCATATCACAGTAAATGCGAAAGAAGGACAAAGGATGAATGTCTTAAATTCAGTCGTATTTTATACTAATTCTACAGTAGATTTCTGGTTCTCTAGTATGTGGATCATAGTCTGTGAGGAGGAAGCGACAATGCCAGAATGTCTATTACGGTCTTGTGACCGAAAGAGGCGTCGGTAAGGTGACCGTTATGGGCTTTGACGTTTTCAAGGGAATTTCTATCGCCATCTGTGCATGGAGAAGGGTCCAAATTTCTACTCCTATATAGTTCAACACTTCTTTAGGTTGTATTTCACAAAATCCACAAAGAATACTCAGTTATTGAAAGAACGCTGTTTGACAGTTTATAATCTGACTCTTAATAATAAAAACGTCTCTTGCTCGCCCAGCAGCACCAACACAGAATCTTTTCTAAGAACCAAACACATGTAGATGTTGTATTACAGTTAAAGTTTCTTTTTTGTCTCCGTGAAAAAATTCAGTCATATTTATTGTCGTCTGTTCTTCTCCTTAACAAATTTCAACGATAAATAGCCAAAACCTTCAAAAATCATTAGGAACACGAAGAGAGTACCTATGTTAGCTCTCAAACTAAAATTTTTACCGTCTTTAATGTGATAATACTTTGTCAAGACATCACGGCCACTAAATGTCGTCCTATTTGAAGAAGTATCATTACATAAGTCAATCAGAGAAACTCCATTTTCACACTGAAAGAGTAGATTGCTACTGAAAGTAATCTGAAGACACGCGTCATATGCATACTTGATAAAAGATAAATATTTTAGCCATGAAATCCATGACGGTATATTTTTTACATAGAAACCGCCGAATAATATTGTTATAAACAGAAGTAGAAATACAGTTCGCATTGCTTGCGTTGGATCATAAACTATAGAAAACACAACGAATGATAGTGCTTGTGAGATGACACTGGCTAGTAATTGAACGAATAAAAATCCGAGATAGTTTAGAAAATATGGATTAAGATTGTAAATCCAGTAAGTGACAGTTAAATAGATAAATGGTATAGTTAAGAGCACTGGTGTTTCGGCCAATAGTTTACCGAAAAAATAGGCTGATAGACTATAGAGACCATTTTCTTGTTGCTCCCTTTTAATGAGTTTACGTTCAATCGGAAATTTATATAGTGTAGCAATTGGCACTTCTAAAGACCATAATGACAAAGTGAAGAAGATGTAAGAAGAACGATCTTCTAAGGTAGATTCTCGAAATGATGCTCGAAACCAACAGAGGCTAGTAAACAAAGTTATGAGTAGAGTGTAAAATAGATATGAACGAGCAAATTGTTCTTGAATGATTAATTTTAAAGAACGACTGTATAATATTGTAAATTGTTGAAGAAAACTGCTTTGGTACAAGCTTACAGTGCTGTGGACAAGTAATGATTCTTCCTTATTCTCAAAATGATCTTCTTCTTGTTTAGAAGAAACAGCAGTTTTGACGTATTCTTCGACTAAACGATTTCTTATTGGACTATTGCTCTCACTAACTAAATCAATTATATAATCAGCTGGATTGAAGTGATCAGGACAATGATAACCAAGGGACGCAAAATATGGCACAGCACACTGCGGTTCGTTCTGAAAGAAAATGTAAAGTTATTTTTGCTTCTTTTCAGACTGCATCAATATCTTTCAGCGTCATACCATAAAAACTACTGTGCCTTCGGAGATAAGCATAACTCGATCAAATGTTTGAAATATCTGTGAAGGCTGATGAATTGGAAGAGCAATCGTCTTCCTCTGTTCATCAGCTAATTTTCTTAAGAACTGTATCAACGATGTAGCTAAAGCGCTGTCGAGACTAGTTGTAGGTTCTAAAGAAGAAAGAATGATTCAGACCTATGTTTATCGAACTTGAAAAACAAAATAACCATCCAACACCAAAATCGATGGATTTGTTAACAATGCCACTGCAATACTAAGACGTTTCTTTTCGTCGTTACTAATTAAATATATTGGTGAGGTCATACAAATGTGTAAATTTAATTTTGTAACCAATAATTCCACATGTTTTTCTTTTAAGTGCCAAGGTAATTTTAGCCTTGCAATGAAGACTAGTTGTTCTCGCACAGTTAACGTGTCGAAGAATTCATTATCTTGCATGACATACGTAATTTTCTCTTTCATTGTATTGTGATTGTAGGGCTGGTTGTTGAATAGAATTTCACCAGTAACACCGAGAGTTGAACGATTAGTGAGCGTATCCAATAAAGTTGTTTTGCCACTACCTTTTAGACGAAGAAAAAAAACCGAAAATTTAAGAAATTGTCACTCTCTCGCCGAAAATGCAAAGCTTCTTCAATCATCCAATCCCTCAAAAAATACCACTACCATACTGCTCAAACAGAGTCGTCATCATATCCTTTGATTAGATTACAAACCTGATACGCCCATTACAGCTAATATTTCTCCAGGATGAACAATGCCACTAATATTATCAAGTAACACTCGTTTATTAGCCGTCGTTTTCTTTGACAAATTTAGATCATCATTGTTGTCATTATCGTCGACAGTTACAGCTTTTGTTAAATTATGAAATCCTAAAGATATATGTTCTGTTGAAAGATTATGTGGAGTTTCTTCTTCTTCTTCGTCGTCCTTGTGATCGTAGTGTAAAGGAAGATATTGGTAATGTACGTGTTGCGATGAAGTTCGAAAACAAGATCTTATACTCTTCTTAAGAGTATTCATTCTCTTCCAGTATTGTTTTGAACGTTTTTTATATGATTTTGTATGACCGTCATCATTACTTCATAATAATATTCTGGGTTTCAACGAGTTGAATAGTGAAATTCGTTCTGATATATTGCTTTCCTCTGTGATTTTAAAAACAGTTATTGAGTGAGAATCACTCATTCAATGACGGTCTCTACTTTTTTTTCGCTCTAAATGGTTTTAAGCATGAAAATTGTTTTGTTGTCATAGTATTCTTTTCTTTCTTATTCATGACACGCAACAATCATTACATGCACTTTAATATATCGTTGTAAGTAACAACAATTGTAAAATATAAATGTATGCAACGCATTAGAAAACCTCCGCATAATCTTTTTCAACGACTTCGTTCTGATAGAAATATGAATATAAAGTCAGTTTTTTCAACTAAGATAAGAGAATTTTTCGAAAAAATTTCCTTTCACTGACATTTAGTTCGTGCTATATTGAAAAATTCACTGACTCCGTGCACTGAAGCTAGCGAAAATTCAGACTTTTTTGCATCATCACTGCTTTTCACAGAGCAAGTCGTTTCAAAGACTTGACTTGTTCGTCTTCGTCACTAAGCGATTCCACGCTGTTTTAACATGAGACTATTCGGAATACTATAAAGCATGAAGTTTTTTCTCTCACGAGAGAACATATTTAAGTGCTTCCTCCCCCTGAGAAAGGGTTTTAAACCATTCTATCCTGTAGGGACCTTGATGTATATCATTAATATCAATGTCTTAGCTGCTTTCGTTTAAGTCTGAAAAAAATAGACAATCAAACTTTTTTAATTTTTCGTATACTACAGATATGATTATATATCATTTTTCATTTTTATAAAATTTGTAACAATTATGAATCTTTTTGTAAAATACTGTAAAGAATGAACACGATCTAATAGAGAACATATACTTTTCTGTCATAAATAGGGGTATCATACATGTGTTTCATAAATAATTATATATCTGGATTATCACTTGTTATTGTAACAATTTAGTTGGAATCACCAGAAATTTTATTTCAAAGCAATTAGCCAAAACAATGCACAAGACATCATTATTCTTCTTAAGTGCTTCTTATCTTTGATTAAACGATATCTTCGTTTGATAGATGAAAACTAGTGATTATTCGCAAACTGCACAATTTCACGCATAGTTTGATACGAATAAGACCGATTACCAACTACATAGGTTTCTTCGGTGTCATCCGGTTCAATTGTATAAGACTCATCAGTATCGTCATACTCGTCGATATACAATGTAATATCGCCATCAATCATTTCGGATGAAGTTGTCAGTAGCTGCAATACCGAAATGAGTTGATCAGCGGCTGCGTGATCCTGAGGAGATGATTTGTCTTCTTTACAATCCGAATACTTTTCCTTTACTAACTCATTAAACAATCGTACTACATTAGCTACGTTGAACATGGTTACTCTTTTTGACGCTTTATAATGTTGTGAAGTAATTGTCGACTTTCTAGTTTATGGTCAAAGAGAAATATTGCTTTGTAACGTATGCAAACACGCTTAAGGGGACCCCCCCCTTTCCCGACTCAAAATTTTCACACTTTTCGTTTTTCATTTTTTCTGATTAGCATATGGATTTAAATGCCCTCTATCCATTGAACACACTTTGAGAACTGAAAACCCACATGTTATATATAAAATAACTCGAAAAAAATCACAGAATATGTTGAAAAAACCAAAAAATAGAAATTTTTTTGCGTTTTTCTCAAAATGAGTTTTTTCAGCAGAAAAATGAAGTTTTCCCCCCTTTTCTCCTCTCGTACCCCAATCAATCGAGCTGAAATTTTTACTGTGAATACTTTGAATAAATCGGGGTGTGTCTTTTTTTTTCTCTCGCAAATATTCGTCTTAAGAAATTTTACTAGGTACCACAATATTGGCACTATAAAAAAAAACGAAAAAAATCGCATTTTTTGATAGTGCCGTAAGTAACTTGGTTCTCCTGACCCTCAGGAACGATATTTTCCGAAAAAAAAAGACACACACCAATTTGTTCCTAGTTTCTGCAGAAAAAATTTCAGCCCTAAACAATGCAGTATAAGAGTTTTGCGGGGGGCAAAACTTCAGGTCATTTTTCGCCCTTGGGTTGCAAATATCTCTGGAAAGGCAGCATCTTCGAATTCTGAGTCTATGACAACTTTTGCTGTACTCATCGAGATCTATCTACCCTGAAGGTTTCAGAAGATTTCACCGAGCCGTTCTCGAGAAACCTCGGAAAGGGGGGGTTCCATTAAATTGTTTTAAAACGACGGATATATATATATGTATATACATATATGCACTAGAGCTTGGAAAGAGAAAGAATTTACTGGAATGTATCATACAGAAGAAAATTTAGTAAAGAATACCAGATAAAATATCATCATCATATAGACAGAAATCAGAACAAAAGGAATGTACCTAACCATACAAGTTTGATCAGTACAGATTGTTGCTCGAAAAAGCACGTTATGAATCAGATGAATACTTATATGGGTAGGAAAAGGATCATATTTTTAATTATGATAGAAAAGTATATGTTCTCTATCAGATCGTGTTCATTCTTTACAGTATTTTACAAAAAGATTCATAATTGTTACAAATTTTATAAAAATGAAAAATGATATATAATCATTTCTATAGTATATGAAAAATTAAAAAAGTTTGATTCTCTATTTTTTTCAGACTTAAACGAAAGCAGCTAAGACATTGATATTAATGATATACATCAAGGTCTCTACAGGATAGAATGGTTTAAAACCCTTTCTCAGGGGGGCACTTAAATATGTTCCCTCGTCAGAGAGAAAATATTGAGTGAAGTCTTTTTTCGAAATTATATTCTAAGTGGTAATAAGACTAGCTGTATGTAGAGATGTGAATTGATTGGCTGAGCCGCTATTGATTGATGCAAAATATTTTAAGATATTTTTCGCCACGACACAAAAGTAGATACTTGAATTGAATATGTTTGACACTTGGGCGTAATTTTTGGATATATTCTCATCTAGGTGTTACTTGGTTCCATTTTTATGAAATGAAAAATAGTGAAACCGTCAGTCTTCTTTTCATAAAGTTTCTTTGAGATCAACACTGAGAGTCTTGTTTTGATGTCAGTCTCGATATACCCTAAGTCCTAGGGGTGGTGAGGATGGGTGGGTGTGAGAATGGATGGGTGAGGGTGAATGAGAGTGGGTGGGGGAGGCTAAGGGTGAAGAGAAGACAACCACTGTCACTCACCCTCACCCACTCATGCACCCACTCCAACTTCACCCACCCTCACCCCACCCATGCACCCACACACCCTCATCCACTCTCAGCCACCTGCTCTCACGCCCCGGTCATCCATCCACCCATTCGTATGTCTATGTCATTGAGTCTGATCAACTTATAGAACGAAAACGATAGATGAAAAGAGAGTAAAACATGAATAAACTCTGAAGTGGAACGAGAATGTAGAAAACAAAGCAAGGCCTTGTATTGTGTGAGAACGTTGTGAACTACTTCACGATATTCGACACCAACAAATGTAACGATCAGAGTACAATTAATGTAAATTAATTAAAGATTCATGCAAAATATTCATTCCGTAGATTCGACGAGATTAAGTATACACCAAATCCAAATCCAATCAAACCCAAATCCAATTCTTTGTTTGGGTTTGACTAGATTTGGATTTGGGTTTGACTGGATTTGACTTGGATTTGGATTTAGATTTGACTGGGTTTGACTTGGATTTGGGTTTGGATTTGACTGGGTTTGGGTTTGACTTGGATTTGACTAGATATACCTCCTACAAAGACTGCAGTTTTTCGATAACAAAACTCGCCAAAACCGGTCAAATCTTCGTGTCCATTAGACGCAGTTTTCTTCGCTCTATCCAATGATGGCGTCAGATTCCATGTAATCTTTCAAAAAGTGCCAAGGTTTGACAGATTGTTATGCAAATTCTTGCTTTTTATTCACGTTTTTGATGAAATCCTGTCAAACCTTGGCACTTTTTGAAAGATTACATGAAATCTGACACCATCATTGGATACAGCGAAGAAAACTGCATCTAATGAAGACGAAGATTTGACCGGTTTTGGCGAGTTTTCTTACCGAAAAACTGCAGTCTTTGTAGGAGGTATATATAGTCAAATCCAAGTCAAACCCAAACCCAGTCAAACCCAAACCCAGTTAAATCCAGACTCAAAACCAAGTCAAACCAGGTCAAATCCAAATCCAAACCCAAGTCAAATCCAGTCAAACCCTAACCCAAATCTAGTCAAACTCTGTCAAATCCAGGATTTGGGTATGACTGGACTTGGATTTGGATTTGGATTTGACCTGGTTTGACTTGGTTTTGAGTCTGGATTTAACTGGGTTTGGGTTTGACTGGGTTTGGGTTTGACTTGGATTTGACTA